ATGGAGTTTTTATAGCATGTTTGGAGGGTGGAGGGGGGCTCAGAAAGAAACCGGGTTGAGAACCCCAGATCTACAACCTTTATCAGTGAGGGTTCTGTTTTCTCCCAGGTCATTAATAAAAATGTTAAATAGTCTAGTGCCAAGAACCCATCCACCTGGGACCCCATTTGAAACACTCCTACTCCGTGACGTGAGTCACCATTTGCAATTGCATTTTGAGATCTGTCAGTTAGCCAGTTTTTAATCCATCTAATATGTGCCGTGTTAATTTTATATTGGTCTCATTTTTTAACCAAAACATTGTGCAGGACCAAGTCCAACGCCTTACAGAAGTGGAAGTATATCACATCAACACTGTGACTTTAGCGCTCTGTAGTTTATGTGCTTAGTATTTAATTTCAAGCAACCACAGTGAATTGCTACAAAGCCTGGCAGACGATTCCCTGACTGTGCCTGAGAAACGCTGTGGCTTATGGTGTGAATTGAGTATGGCTGGTGCCCGAGTCTCAGATGGGGAGCATTTTATGCCATGCACTTGTGGGTCACTTCATTCGCTGCTGTATTCTCCCCCTGGCCCACACCTGTCTTTATGGCGATCTTCTGGAGGCGACTGACTGTTAGTCAAAGATACAGGGGTGGTTGTGGTCTAAGGAGTAGATCCTCTCAGGAGAGGTAAAAGGGGCATGAAGTACGTGGGCTGGAGCCAGGAGTGGTGGAAAACTCCCTAAAATTGTGGGGCCACCAGAGCCCAAACCATGGCCCTGCCCTCACATCGCCCATTCCCCCTGAGGCCCTGCCCTCGTGCCACCCATTCCATCTGGAGGCCCCACCCTCATGCCACCTATTTCATCCTGAGGCCCCGCCCTCATGCCCTCATGCCCCGCCCTCATGCCCTCATGCCACCCATTCCCCCTGAGGCCCCGCCCCAACTCATTCTTCTCTGCCCACTCCCCCTGTCGCTTGCCCTTACGGGTGGGAAAAAGTGATGGGGCCCCTGGCGTCCCCTATTCTGGCTCCCCAGCTGGAGCATTCAGCCATGGTGCCTGTTTCCCAGAGGCACTGAGTCAGGGGCAGGTTACACTCCTGTTTCTTTGGCTGTATTTCCAGCTGGGGTGGGCTTGTCTCACCTTCTCCCCTGATGCTCTTTCCCTGCTGTGGCAACAGAGACACCATTCCTCCTGGGTCCCCAGCCTGCATCTCTAATGGCTCTGAGCTGCCCCAGAGTGCTCTGGGCTCCTGAAGATCACCCCTGCCCATCGGGGCACTGGAATGGGGGGAGGGAGCCAGGGGGCCATGGCCCCCCTACTTTCTACCAGCTGAAAGGGCAAGTGATGGCAGGAGGGGGTGAAGAGGAGCAAATGAGGGGCGGGGCCTTGGGGGGAAAAGGCAGTGCGAGGGTGGGGCATCGGAGGGAATCAGGGCCTCGGGGAGAAGGGGCGGTGTGAGGGCAGGGCCTCAGGGGGAATCGGGGTCTCGGGGAGAAGGGGCCATGCAGGGTGGGATCTCGGGGGGCGGAGGGTGTGGTGTGGTGCAGGAGGGGCCCTGTGGCCCCCCCTTCTGTGCCCCCCCCTACTTTTAGGGCGCTTCCCCTGCTCCTGCTCCCATGCTCCATGCTGAATGGAGACAACTCTGCCCCTCGCCGGCAGGGCGTCTGAGCCACAGCCATCGATGGGTTTTAGGCTTGATCTGCGTTACCAACTTATCTCGGTATCACTGCATTGCTCAAAGGTGTAACCTCTGGTGTAGACAGCGCTGTGTCGGTGGGTGGGATTTTCCCATCAACATAGCTACCGCCTCGCGGGGAGGTGAGTACCAATGCCAACAGGGGAGCTTCTCCCATTGGCATAGGTAGTGTCTTCTCTAAGTGCTACAAACCCTTAGTCTCAGGCCCCGCGGGCAGGGAAGGGCCACCCCCATTGTACAGATGAGAGCTGAGGCACAGGAGAGGCTAAGGGATTGGGTCAAGGTTATGACACAAAGCCAGTGGCAGAGCTGGGAAGAGAAACTCGGGCTCCTGCACCCCAGTTCAGAATGCTCTCTACTAGCCCAGGCCTATGTGCCAAGGGCAGGGGGAGGTGATGGGAGCTGGGCTGAGCAGACTGGAGCTATGGGGGGATAGTGTGCTGGAGCATTGATCATTTGGGGGTGGGGGATGGGCCAGCATTAGGGGCTGCTGCGCCCAGTAGTCAGCTGCCTTCATCTCCCCTTCTTCCATTCTGTCACCTGATTGGACGCAGCTGGGGCTGATGCCCTTAGTAACCAGAGAAGAGTATAAAAGATTCATGGATTCCAAGGCCAGAAGTGACCACTGTGCTCATCTTGTCTGACCTCCTGGATAATCCAGGCCAGAGAGCTGACCGCAGGTGATTCCTAGCGCAGAGCTGTTAGAGAATCATCTCAGCTTGGTCTAAAAACTGTCAGTGATGGAGATTCCATCACAACCCCTGGTGAATTGCTCCAATGGTAATTACAGTCATTCAAAGGGTCAATCCGAGCCCCGCGGCCCCTGTCCCAGCTGGCCAGGGAGGCTGGACAGGCAGTGAGGGCTCCCGGGCAGCAGGGAGAGTAGTTCAGAGGAGGAGCTGGGACTGGGAGCTCCCCTCTCCTGGGGGCTATGTGGGACCAAGAGAAAGAGAATGGGAACAAAGGGGTGACAGGGTCTGAAAGGAACCCATGTGCCCATGCAGGCCCAGAGCCTGCCACGGAAAAGGGGTGTGTGTGTATGTGAGTGAGCATGCAGTGAGAGGGCTGCGTGTGTGTGTATACGCACCCATGAGTGGCTCTAATGGGGCACAGCCCTCACACTCTCCCCACCCTGTAGCCAGGAGGGGAAGAGGTCTCAGCCCCATCCATTGCTTTGGGGAGGGGCGGGTCTCTCCTTCTGATGGTGTTAGAGGACACGTCCCATAAATGATTCAGTCCGTTTGACTCCTTTAATGGAACTGCTCTGTACATGCCACTACCTGTGGCCAGCCTGGTAGCCCCTGTGCGACACACACGATCTATAGGCTGATACCTCTCCCTTGGGAGCAGCGCTACTTGGCTCTTACACCACTCTCCACAGACGAAGTGTACATCACCAGCCGCAGTCTATGGAGGCAGAAACTGAGGCACAGCTTGGGAAAGGGACCTGCCCCAGGTCACACAGGGACACATCAGTAGCAGAGATGGAAACAGAACCCAGGAGTCCAGGTTCCCTGCTTGCCACACTAGAGCATGATGACTGAACCATGCAATAACCAAAGTTGGTGTGGAAGCTTCTACCCCACCTCACCCCAACCCCCTCCCCATCAGACCCCATCAACCCTGACCCCAGGGACCCCCCTCAACATCTGTCCCCATCACCCCTAGGAAGCCCTTCCCCCACCTGATTCCATCACCCCTGGTCCCCAGTTGCTCCCTCAATATCTGCCCCCATTATTCCTAGGAACCTCTTCCCCCCTGACCCCATCAACCCAGTCCCAGGAACCCCCCCTCCTCACCCAACCCCATCACCCCTGGTCCCAAAGTGCTCCCTCAATATCTGTCCCCATCATCCCTAGGAACCTCTTCCACCCCGACCCCATCATCCCAGCCCCAGGCAGCTCTCTCCCCATCTGACCCCATCATCCCTGACCCCAGGGAGCACCCTCCCCATCTGACTCCATGATCCCCAGCCCCAAGGAGTCCCCCCCTCATCCATTGGCCCAGAGAGCCCCCTCCCCATCTGACCCTATTGTCCCTGGCCCAGAGAGCCCCCTCCCTACCTGACCCCCATCATCCCTGACCCCATCACCCCCAGCCCCAAGGAGTCCCCCACATCATCCCTGGCCCAGAGAGCCCCCTCCCCATTTTACCCCATCACCCCAGCCCCAGGGAGCCCCCTCCCCATCTGTCCCCATCACCCTGGCCCATGAGTAAGGTGTGTCTGTCATTCCAGCTGGAGCCCGGACAGGCTGTGCAAACCCCAGGGCCTCCTAGAGAAACAAGGTGTTGAGCTGTAGAGGGGCAGTTCCCAGGCTGCTGGGTGCTGTCTGCCCTCCCCCCGTCACATTCCATACTTGTATCCGGCTAGTGCCAGGTGCATCATGTCACGACACACGGCCTGACATGTCGTGATACAGTTCACCCCACTAAGTGTGTGTGTGTAAGGTGTGTGCGGGGGGTATTACCAGCCCTACGTCTTGTTTGTGTGCAGTAAGGAGTCTCCCTAACCGTGGGGTGCGTATGGCACGGGTGGGGGGTTCTCCCACTCCCCACTGGTGGAAATGGGGCAGGGGCTCAGCAACCCTGTGAAAGAGGCACAAAGGTCAGCGCTAGGTCCCTGAATGTTGCTACCGCCCTGGGGTCTCAGCCCAAGAGCTCTGCCCAGTGTCAGCACCATCATGGGGATGCCCCCGCAGCAGCTGGGATTGTTCATGGGCTTCCCATGGGCAGGAGCAGCGTCGGAGCTCCCTGGATCTGCGCAGAGGGTGGATGGAGCCGTGGGGCTGGGCACACAGTGGGGAGGTTCTTGCTTCTTGGGTTGCTTGGAGCTGGAGCATAGCTGGGAGTCCCGCTGCTTGCAGGGGGTGCTCTCCTCCCCACCCCTGGGGGTGTTACTTCTGGCATGGCGTGTAGCTGATGTGATGCGAGCAGCCGTGGCTGGGGTGCAGGTGGCCACCTCTGTATGGGCCAGCAGGGGCACAGTCTCTGTGGGCAGGGATAGGCAGCGTGAGGTCACTCCTCCCTGCCCCTTTAGCACCCAGCCCCCTCCGCTGGCTCATTTTGAGCCAGTGCCAGGCCTACCTGGCCTGCCACAGTCTGCTCGCCCTCGGGGCGCATGCAGGGTCTCTGGGTGCCAACGCAGCCGCTTCAGGTCACACTGTCACCCTGAGCCTCGGGTCTCGCTCTATCGTTTCAGCCTCTTCCAGGCTTTGCCTGTTTCCCCTCTTTTTCCTTAACCCCCTTTCTTTCCCTGCCCCTTCCCCCTTATTCCCCACCTCCCTTCCACGGCGCCCCCTTCCCCCAGCCCAGAGGCGTCACCTGATCTCAGTAGGCACCACGGGCTGGCTGCGCCTCCGTCTGCAGTACCACAGCAGGGCCCAGAGGATCGAGAGCAGCAGGACCAGGAGGAAAATGGCCCCCAGGACAGAGCCCACAATGAGCCCCACGTTCCTTGTACCTGCAGAAGGGGAGCAAACCTGTCACCTTCTCCCCTCTCCGTACCGGGCTGGGACCTACACCCAGAAAGCACCGCAGGGACCCCTGGCTGCTGAGCCCCATCAACACCCCTGCCCACCGGGCACTGTTCCCATATTCGCTCTGCATGCCCAAGGGGCGTCCCCTGCTGGGCTGCCCATGAGGCCCTGGCCAGGCCCATGTAATCCATGGGGCCCTGCATGGGCAATAGCTCCTGTGAGAAGGTGCCTGCTGCACGGGGTCAGTGCATTAGCCTGGAGCTGCAGCTTGGCCCCAAGAACCTGGCCGTCCCTGGCACCTGGTCAGCCCCAGCGATGGGGGCAGAGATGGGGCAGTCGCCTTTGCTGTCTATGGGTCATTGTTCCCAATGCAGGAGGCAAGGGGGATTAGAGTCAGAGAGCTTAAGGCGAGAAGGACCCACCAGATCATCCAGTCTGCCCTCCTGCACATCACAGCTCACCAGCCCTCCCCCCACAGCACCCCATAGAACCGGGATTACACTAAAGTACCACAGCCCAGCAGAGCCCTAGCTGTGGGGCACCAACCACAGAGCCCAGGAGGGGCCGAGTCTCCATTGTTCTCTACGGGGAAGGGGGTTCTCCACTGTTCTCTATTGGGGGGGGTTCTCCATTGTTCCTTATGGGGAAGGGGGTTCTCCATTGTTCACTATTGCAGGGGGGTTCTCCATTGTTCCCTTTGGGGAAGCGGGTTCTCCATTGTTCCCTAGGAGGGTCTCCATTGTACCCTATGGAGAGTTCAGAGTCTCAGCCGTGTTGGTCTGTATCCGCAAAAAGAAAAGGAGGACTTGTGGCACCTTAGAGACTAACACATTTATTTGAGCAGAAGCTTTCGTGATGCATCCGATGAAGTAGCTGTAGCTCATGAAAGCTTACGCTCAAATAAATGTGTTAGTCTCTAAGGTGCCACAAGTCCTCCTTTTCTTCCTATGGAGAAGGAAGTTCTCCATTGTTCCCTATAGGGGGGCTCTCCATTGTTCCCTATAGGAAAGGGGGCTCTCCATTGTTACCTACAGGGAAGGGGGGGGTCTCCAGTGCTCCCTGGGGGCTGCTGGGGGCTGAGCTCTGTTCTGGCTCTGGCCCCTCAGGGTGCCCCTCACACTGATATTTTTGGACATGCCCCTCCCCTCGGGGTGCTCACAACGCCAGGCTGGTCCCGCTCCCAGCCCAGCCTGGGGTCCAGGCTCAGCTTCAAGAAGCTGCTGCCAGATGCTTGGGTCCTGCCCCGCTGGGCGCTCGGGTGCTTGCCCCCTGTCTGGGCCTTGTGCCCCCCATCCTACCTGAGTAGCCGATGCGAGGGATGGAGATGTGCACCATGCACTGGGAGTAACCCACCCTGTTGGTCACGCGGCAGCAGTAGGTCCCGGCGTGCTCCTGAGACAGGCTCTGGATCATCAGGTCTCCGGAGCCTTGCCCTGCTCAGGAGAGACCCAGCCCTGAGTGGGCCCCCACAAAGTACCCCCGACAGGGCGGCGGAAGCTCCTCCACCCCTAGGTGGCCCTGGGACAGCGCAGGGCAGCCAGAGCCCCCTGGCAACACATCAGGGCCATGTGTGGGCCCACCCCCAAAAACACCCCAGCTGCTCCATCCATGAAAAGGGTCCCCCCGGTGCCAAGACCTCAGGAAACTCATGTCACAGACATTGCCAAGGGGATGCTCCCAGCTCAGCACAAGAGCATCCCACCCTCTGGGGGCCCCCACCTCTCCCCTGCACCATCCTGGGGCACACACCCCATGATGAGCTCAGCAAAGTGAGCAGCCCACCTCCCAGGGACCCCCCGCCCCCACTGCTTACCCTGCACTGTCCTGGGGGGCAGCCAGCCCATGGCATAGTCCCCTCCCATCTTGGACCACTGGTAGGAGAGGGGAAGGGAACCCCCATCAGAGCAGCACCTGAGCATGAGGTCCCCGCCCCTGGCCGGCTCCCCATCCATCCAGCACCGAGGGGCGGCCGGCTTCTCTGGGGAGAGACACAAATCACATCAGTTAATGGGAGCTAGTAAGGAGCAGCAGGGATGAACAGGTGGACATGGCCATGCTCAGAGACAGGCAGGCAGGCAGGCAGAGCTCGGGTACAGCAGGAATGGGGTGGCAGTGCCCCCTGAAAGGGGGAGTCAGAGGATGGGGATTGCTGATGGACAGGCAGATTGGTGGGCAGGGTCAGTGGGCTGAAGTCAGCATATGGGGACTGGCAGGCAGGGTCAGATCAGTAGGCAGTGTCTGTCCACGGGGAATGGCAGGCGGGGGTGGTGGGCAGAGGTAGGTCTGGAGGTGGCGGGGGCAGTGATAGTTGGGTCAGCGGTTGGAGTTTAGATCTGTGGCCGGGCTTAGGTTGTGGGGGGTTCGGTCAGTAGGGGGAGTTTGGGTTAGTGGGTTGGGTCCGTGGGTGGGGATTGGAACTCACCTAGCACAGTGATGGTGACCTGGTGGGTGTTGGCAGTGGGTGAGGGTGGGTCAGTGGGTGGGGGTGGGTTAATGGGTGAGGGTTGAGTCAGTAGGTGCAGGGGGATCAGCAGGGTTGCTGGGCCTCACCTAGCACAGTGACGGTGTTGGCAGGGGTTGGTGTTGGGTGAGTGGGTGGAATTTGGGTCAGAAGGTGGGGTTGGGTTAATGGGTGGGGTTGGGTCAGTGAGTAGAATGTGGGTCAGTGGACCATGGGGTATCAGCGGGGGGGTGGGACTCACCTAGCACGATGAGGGTGACCTGGAGGGTGTTGGCAAGGGTTCGTGTTAGGTCAGTGAGTGGGGCTGGGTCAGTGGGTGGGGTTGGGTTAATGGATGGGGTTGAGTCAGTGGGCAGTGGACGAGTCGGGGTCAGAGGCAGATTAAAGGTTTGTGGGGCCCTGGGTCAGAGCAAGTGAGGGCCCCTTCTGCCTGCAGAGCAATCCCCCACTCCCCAGAAGGAGAGCTGGGTGGCCAAGTAAGTCGGGGCATGGGCACCCATTTCTCTGGGGGGTCCCCAATTGGCTGGGGGCCCTGGGAATGGGCCCTGTTGGCCCAGTGGCTAATCTGCCACTGCTGGGGGTGAGGGGCCAGCAGTTGGGGGCGGGACTCACCAAGCACAGTAATGGTGATCAAGTGGGTGTCGACAGTGGCTTTCTTCACCCTGCACTCGTAGGTGGCCGAGTCCGACACCTGCAGGTTTGCCAGGTGGATGGAGGCATCATACAGGCTTGGGTCCTGGGCCACAAATGCCACCCTCCGCTGCAGGCCTGGGACGCTGCCATACCTGATCTTCTGGTCCTGGTAGATCAGGAACTGATGGGGAGGAACCGAGCAGCAGTGAGCAATGGTGAGTGGTGAGCAAGGGGGACTGGAGACCTGCCAAGGGGCAGAACCAGGGCAGGAGCAGCACTGGGGGCTGAGAATCCAGGTCCTTGGGGACCGTCCTGTACAGGGAGCTGCTAGAGATGCATGTTCTACACCAGTGGTTTTCAGACTGTGGGTTGGGACCCCAGAGTGGTCACAACCCGATTTTAATGGGGTCACCAGGGCTGGTGTTAGAGTTTCTGGGGCCTGGGGCCAAGTCCAAGCCCCAACTCCAGCTCCACCACTGAGGACTGAAACCCGAGCCCCACTGCCCAGGGCCAAAGTCCCACGGCTTCTGCCCTGGGTGTTGCGGGTCAGGTTACAGGCCCCGCACCTGGGGCTGAAGCCCTCGGGCTTTGGCTTTGCCCCCTCCCCCAGCCTGGATCGGTAGGGCTTGGGTTTTGCCCCCCTCCAACCACCCCCCACCCAGGATGGTGGGGCTTGGGCTTTGGCTTTGGCCCCCAGGGCCAGGGTGGAGGGGCTCGGGCAGGCTCAGGCTTCAGTCCCCACTGCTGGGGTTGTGTAATAATTTTTGTTGTCAGAAGGAGTTACGGTGCAATGAAGTTCGAGAGCCCCAGTCTACACTGATGGTGCTGGGTGGTGGGGCAGGGAATGCCCTGCCCAGGGACTGGGGCCAACTGGGAGCGGAGAGGCTGGTGGAGCCCAAGCCAGGTGAGCTCAGAGTCCAGGCATGGGGCGGCGGGGGGAAGGGGATGTAAGGGATTCTGTGGAAGGCAGAAGCGCAGGGCCCAGGGGGAAGGGGTCAAGGCCTCAGGAGCAGAGGGTGACAGCCCCTCTTGAGGGAGGCCTCTCGCTGGGGCAAGTCACAGGGGGCAGCTGGAACAGGACAATTCAATGGGCCCTGGGGGAGACTCGGACCTGCTGCTGGGGCTGTGCCCGAGGGAGGGACCGGCACCGTGAGGGGGCTCAAGAATATGCACACACTCAAGGGTGAGGAAGGGTGGCCGGGTGCCATCAGCCAGGTTGGCAGAGGGGGCAGTGCCCAGGGGTCTCCGCAATCAGACTGGATCCGTGGGAGATGGAATCTGAGCAAGGACCCAGTGCTGGGCAGGGGGTAGCAGTCCATGAGGCAAAGGCAGGGGCAGGAACTCGACCAAGGTGTCCCAGCAAGCCAGGGGCAGAGCTGGAAACAGACCCCAGCACAGATTCCAACCAGGCATTTGATGTGCCTTGCTAAGGAAGTGGGATGAGGGGCAGGACTCAGACTCACCGGCAGCCTCTGGTCAGGGTTCACCATGGTCCATATAATGTCCAGGTTGTTGAGTCCATTGTCCTCAGGCTCCAGGATGTAGGGGCAGCCCAGCCTCACCGAGTCCCCCTGAGCCAGGTACAGCACCTGCTGGCCCTTTGCATTGATCCGCACGGCCTCCAGCAGAGCTGAGGGACAGACAGATAGAGCCACCCATCAGGACAGACAGGCTAGTGCTGGGCAGAACAGCTGCAAAGAGAGGGAGGAGTCCCCGGGCACCTTCTGCGGAGACTGAGCCCTTCCTGCAGTGCCCAGAGCCAGCTATGCAGGGAGCCAGTCCTGTGGCCTGCCAGTGTGGGAATGAGTGAGGGGATTGTCAGAGAAGGGGCTCTGGGGGAAGCATGTCCCATCAACTTTTAGAAGATGCTGCATAGGGGGGCATTATCCATGCAGGGACCAGGCTGTGCCCTGGGCAGAGATGGGCTCCCTTCCCCGGAGCTGGGCTCTATTGCCCAATATTTGTCAAGCTGTGGACATCTTGCTGCAAGGATCCCACTTGGCCCTGTCAGAATACAGCGAAGCAGGGTGGGTTTTGCCCTGTATCTGAGGCCAGTGCCCCTGGGGTGATCTCTGGTGAATACTTACCTCAGGCCAGTGAGCTCAGACAGCCCCTAGGGGGAGCCACACTGCTGATACTGGGGCTCGATTTGAAATGCCGTGCAGCAGGGGGCACTGCAATGAACAAGTGTGCACATAATGCACTCACGAGTGTGCCAGTCCAACACATTCCAGCCAGCAGAGGGCAGCATCCTGCACAAAGGCCCCCCCGCCCCCGCGCTGATGAAGTGAACAATTTCACTCAACTGATTTTTAAAGTTGCCAGTTTCAGCAACCTGCTGGGTCCTGACTCAGCCTCGGGAAAGTGAGCGAAGGTCCTGCAGGGAATGAGGGGGCGGGGGTGTTGTTATTTATTGCACTGCTTCATTAAGAGGCTTCTCCAACTTGCACCAATTGCCAACAGCAGCCAGGGATCCACAGGCCCGGGAAGCCCAGCCATGCCCCCTGCCTGCAGCTTGAAAAGAGTCCACAGGGGAGGTTCTCAGAGCTAGATCTGCCAGGGCTGATGTGTCTAAGCCAGGTATGTCTGCAGAACACACCCAGCCTTGGTACTCTGGGAGAGCTGCCTGCTACCAGCCTGAGGGGACCTCTCCAGTGTTTCATTGTTGTGTAATTAATTGGTGACTCTTTGCAGAGCACTTTCTAGGTGCAGTGTAATCCAGGTGCAAAGGACTCTTGCTTGCAAAGTGTCACTATATGGGAGGACAGCACAGGAAGGTAACATGCCTGGGAAAAGGGTGCTGCTGGCTGATTGTCACTCCTGCGGCAGCTGAGGGGATTCCAGCTCAGGTAGATACACATATTCTAGCTTTGATGGAGCTGCTAGCTCAGTAAAAATAGCAGTCCAGCTCTGGCAGCACTGACGGTGGGATGGGCTAGCCACCTGAGCAAGCACCTGGAGTCCTGGGCGGGACTGTACTCGGGGTAGTTATCCCAAGTGTCCTACCACCCATGCCGTGGCAGCTACACTGTTCTGTGTAGCTCAGTGGTTCTCCCTGAAACGCTGCGGGTACACAGAGATCTTTCAGGGGGTACATCAACTCATCTAGATATTTGCCTAGTTTTACAACAGGCTATATGTAGCGAAATCAGTACAAACTAAAATTCCATACAATGACTTGTTTATACTGCTTTTTATATTGTAAGTACAATATTTATATGTCAATCAATTTATTTTATAAATACATCGTAAAAATGAGAAAGTCAGCCGTTTTTCAGCAGTAGTGTGGCTGTGATACTTTTGTATTGTTATGTCTGATTTTACAAGCAAGTAGTTTTTAAGTGAGGTGAAACTTGGAGTTACACAAGACAAATCAGCCTCCTGAAAGAGGGACAGTGGCCTGGAAAGGTTGAGAACCACAGATGTAGTGCACTAGCTCAATCAAAACTACTCTGTGTACACCGACCTGAGCTGGAAATTACACTGCCAGCTCCAGTGTAGACGTACCGTAAGAGGTTTCTCTCTTGCTGCATTTTGTCAGCACTGCGCCATACGGGAAATGCCCAGATTTATGGAGCCGGAGCAGTTTTGTGGCGCACTAAGGGCTTGAGTACACACAGGTGTAAAATGACAGCTATAGGGGAAACTATTCAGCTCTAGCTCTGCCTGCTAAACTGCCCGGTGTGGACGCTTCTCTGGAACGAGAATGACTGTATTCCAGTATAATTGCTCCTGTTCCATAATGAACTCCCTGTTATTCTCGAATCAAGTGTCCACACAAGGAAATTATTCCAGCACAACTATTATTGTTATTATTTATTAGGTGTATTACCGTAGCACCTAACAGCCCCAGCCAGGGACCAGGCCCCATGGTGCTTGGGGCTGTGCAAATGCAAAACAAAGAGACAGTTCCTGCCCCAAGGAGCTCACAGGCATTATTCCACTACAGCTATGCTGGGCAATTTCCCCATGTAGATGAGCCCTAAATTGCCAGGCTGGGAGCCATGGGGAGGGAGGGGGGTTTAGAGCCAAGTTCAGTAGCGTTCCCACCCTCTCCGGCTCCCTGTCGCTGGCTGGGGAGGGCCTGAGGGGTCCCTTGGAGAAGCCTACCTGGTGTTAGACACAAGAGGAGGAGCTGGACAGTCCCTCGCCCAGGCATGGTCCTGCAGCCTCTCCCAGCGTATCCAGAGCAGCAGAGAAGAGAGACGATCCTGAGTGGGGAGCTCGGAGACAGGGAAGCAGAGCGTCTTGGGGCTGCTTTTATCTGCCGGGGCTGGGTGTTCCTCCCTCCAAGGAGAATGCCTTTGGGGTGAGTGAGGAGGTGAGTGAGCGGCTCCAAGCCGTGAGTGTGAGCTGCCGCCCGCTCTCTCCTGTGCCTACCTGATAATTAACACTGGCTTGGCTGGCGTGGGCTTTCCTGCTAGCCGGGCTTGTTGCCCTGCATCCTTCTCGCACAGGGAGGCCTGACAGGTGGCTCTCTAGGCTCAGGGCTTGGGAGGAAGGTTGGCGACAGCTGGCCTCAAAGCTTTTAATGGGGCCTCAACCCATCCGCTGAGCTTACACCTACAGTTTCCACCTGCAGCGGCGGGCACCAGTGACCTGGTAGCAGGGAGATGTCTATTCTCCCTGTGTGGTGTGTGTGGCTGCCAGGCTGCCGGCCCCTCCCCCTGCACCATAGCCAGTGGGACACTGCCGCAAGCCCATACCAGGCGCCCGCTTGTCACACAGAGTCTCAAGGGAGAGATAGGGTTGCCAACCCCTCCAGGATTGCCCTGGAGTCTCCAGAAATTTAAAGATTAATCTTTAATTAAAGATTATGTCATGTGATGAAACCTTCAGAAATATGTCCAACCAAAATTGGCATCCCTAGTGAGAGAACATCCCAGGTCTGGCCAGGCAGTGGAGGAGGGGGCAGGGCAGGCTGCCTGTGCCGGCAACACATCTGTCTCTGGTGCCAGGGGCAGAGGGACCATCTGCAGAATGAGCAAAACCAAAGGAGGATTAGAAACAGCCAGGGAGGGAGAGTAAACATGAGTCCACCTGAGCGGCCAGTTTGGATGTGAGTGTGCGACATAGGGAGCACCAGTGTGTGACAATGAGCCTGTAACACTGTGTGTGAATGTGCAACTGTGAGCATGTGACGGGGTGTCATAAATATAAAGGGAAGGGTAAACCCCTTTAAAATCCCTCCTGGCCAGAGGAAAATTCCTCTCACCTGTAAAGGGTTAAGAAGCTAAAGGTAACCTCGCTGGCACCTGACCAAAATGACCAATGAGGAGACAAGATACTTTCAAAAGCTGGGAGGAGGGAGAAAAACAAAGGGTCTGTGTCTGTCTGTGTGATGCTTTTGCCGGGGACAGAACAGGAATGGAGTCTTAGAATTTAGTAAGTCGTCTAGCTAGATATGCGTTAGATTATGATTTCTTTAACTGGCTGAGAAATTAAGCTGTGCTAAATAGAATGAATATTCCTGTCTGTGTGTCTTTTTTGTAACTTAAGGTTTTGCCTAGAGGGATTCTCTATGTTTTGAATCTAATTACCCTATAAGGTATCTACCATCCTGATTTTACAGAGGTGATTCCTTTTTTACTTCTATTAAAAGTCTTCTTGTAAGAAAACTGAATGCTTTTTCATTGTTCTAAGATCCAAGGGTTTGGGTCTGTGGTCACCTATGCAAATTGGTGAGGATTTTTACCAAACCGTCCCCAGGAAGTGGGGTGCAAGGGTTGGGAGGATTTTGGGGGGGAAAGACGTTTCCAAACTACGTTTTTTCAGGAACCCAGATAAAGTTTGGTGGTGGCAGTGGAAGTCCAAGGGTAAAATAGTTTGTACCTTGGGGAAGTTTTAACCTAAGCTGGTAAAAGTAAGCTTAGGAGGTTTTCATGCAGGTCCCCATATCTAGAGTTCAGAGTGGGGAAGGAACCTTGACACGGGGTGTGGGACTGTGGGCATGTGACGGGGTGTGAAAGGGTGTGATGGGGTATGTGTGAATGTGAGCATGTGATGGTTTGTGGGACTATGTGTTACAGTGTGTATGAGAGATGGGATGTGACAGGGTTTGTGACTGAGCATGTGATGGGATGTGACTGTGAGGATGTGACTGTGTGTGATGGTTTGTGTAACTGGGAGTGTGTTACTGTCACACCCCATCTCACACACACTGTATGTGACTTTTGAGTGTGTGATGGGGTGTGACGGTGTGCGTGTGACTGTGAGCATGTGATGGGGTGTGATGAGATGTGTGTGAAAGTGAGCGTGTGACAGTGTGTGACTGCATATGTGATGGTTTGTGTGACTGTGTGTTACAGTATGTGTGAGATGAGGTGTGACAGTGTGTGTGTGTGACTGCGCATGTGTGATGGTTTGTTGACTGTTACAGTGTGTGTAAGATGAGGTGTGACAGTGTGTGTGTGACTGTGAGCATGTGACAGTGTGTGACTGCATGTGTGATGGTTTGTGTGACTGTGTGTAAGATGAGGTGTGACAGTGTGTGTGTGACTGAGCATGTGACAGTGTGTGACTGCATGTGTGATGGTTTGTGTGACTGTGTGTTACAGTGTGTGTGAGATGGGGTGTGACAGTGTGTGTGTGACTGTGAGCATGTGATGGGATGTGTGACTGAGTGTGTGATGGTTTGTGTGACTGTGTGTTACAGTGTGTGTGAGATGGGGTGTGACAGTGTGTGTGTGACTGTGAGCATGTGATGGGATGTGTGACTGAGTGTGTGATGGTTTGTGTGACTGTGTGTTACAGTGTGTGTGAGATGGGGTGTGACAGTGTGTGTGACTGTGAGCATGTGATGGGATGTGTGACTGAGTGTGTGACAGGGTGAACCCAAATCTAGATGTTCCCATGCTCGTGTTGCTCCTCCAGGTGCTCTGAGTCCCCCCCGGGGGCCTGGGCACCACATCTCAGGTTGTATCTTACCCACAGTGTTTGTGTGCGGGTGTGAGAGGGATAGTGTGCATGTCTGGCACCATGTACATGTGCTGGGGTGTGGCTCACCAGTTAGCACTGACTGCTCGTGGGGAGCGCCCCCTACTGAGCCCCCACCCCGCTCCCTGCAATACGGCACGCCTTAGGACCACACTGTCATTGGGGCCACCACTGACTGCTCGTGGGGAGAGCGCCCCCTACTGAGCCCCCACCCCGCTCCCTGCAATACGGCACGCCTTAGGACCACACTGTCATTGGGGCCACCACTGACTTCGAGGGGAGAGCGCCCCCTACTGAGCCCCCACCCCGCTCCCTGCAATACGGCACGCCGTAGGACCACACTGTCATTGGGGCCACCACTGACTTCGAGGGGAGAGCGCCCCCTACTGAGCCCCCACCCCGCTCCCTGCAATACGGCACGCCTTAGGACCACACTGTCATTGGGGCCACCACTGACTTCGAGGGGAGAGCGCCCCCTACTGAGCCCCCCACCCCGCTCCCTGCAATACAGCATCTTCTAGCACTGCACAGGGTCATTGGGGTCAGCACTGACTCTGAGGGTGGTGCTCCTGCCTCACTCCCTGCACTTACTCTTCCTTGAAAAACTCTGCCAGGAGCTGAACCCGCCCAGCTGGGGTAATCCAGGGAGATATGCCTAGTAGCAGCCCGAGGGGATCTCCCCAGCGTGCACTTATCATGTAATTAACTAACTTATCCTCCCAGAGCACTTTCAATGGAATTCAGGTGCCAATTGTTATTGTTGTTATTGTCACTGTCAGCCACACTATCAGAGGCTCGTTCACCTGCACATCCACCAATGTGATATATGCCATCATGTGCCAGCAATGCCCCTCTGCCATGTACATTGGTCCCACATATCTATTCAGGGGACACCATCACAGGGCCTAATAACATCAGCCACACTATCAGAGGCTCGTTCACCTGCACATCCACCAATGTGATATATGCCATCATGTGCCAGCAATGCCCCTCTGCCATGTACATTGGTCCCACATATCTATTCAGGGGACACCATCACAGGGCCTAATAACATCAGCCACACTATCAGAGGCTCGTTCACCTGCACATCCACCAATGTGATATATGCCATCATGTGCCAGCAATGCCCCTCTGCCATGTACATTGGTCCCACATATCTATTCAGGGGACACCATCACAGGGCCTAATAACATCAGCCACACTATCAGAGGCTCGTTCACCTGCACATCCACCAATGTGATATATGCCATCATGTGCCAGCAATGCCCCTCTGCCATGTACATTGGTCCCACATATCTATTCAGGGGACACCATCACAGGGCCTAATAACATCAGCCACACTATCAGAGGCTCGTTCACCTGCACATCCACCAATGTGATATATGCCATCATGTGCCAGCAATGCCCCTCTGCCATGTACATTGGTCCCACATATCTATTCAGGGGACACCATCACAGGGCCTAATAACATCAGCCACACTATCAGAGGCTCGTTCACCTGCACATCCACCAATGTGATATATGCCATCATGTGCCAGCAATGCCCCTCTGCCATGTACATTGGTCAAACTGGACAGTCTCTACGTAAAAGAATAAATGGACACAAATCAGATGTCAAGAATTATAACATTCATAAACCAGTCGGAGAACACTTCAATCTCTCTGGTCACGCAATCACAGACATGAAGGTCGCTATCTTAAAACAAAAAAACTTCAAATCCAGACTCCAGCGAGAAACTGCTGAATTGGAATTCATTTGCAAATTGGATACTATTAATTTAGGCTTAAATAGAGACTGGGAGTGGCTAAGTCATTATGCAAGGTAGCCTGTTTCCTCTTGTTTTTTCCTACCCCCCCCCCCAGATGTTCTGGTTTAACTTGGATTTAAACCTGGAGAATGGTCAGTTTAGATGAGCTATTACCAGCAGGAGAGTGAGTTTGTGTGTGTATGGGGGTGGGGGGATGTGAGAAAACCTTGATCTATGCAGGAAATAGCCCGACTTGATTATGTAAAGAGTTGTCACTTTGGATGGGCTAGCACCAGCAGGAGAGTGAATTTGTGTGGGGGGGTGGAGGGTGAGAAAACCTGGATTTGTGCTGGAAATGGCCCACCTGTTGATCACTTTAGATAAGCTATTACCAGCAGGACAGTGGGGTGGGAGGAGGTATTGTTTCATGATTTCTGTGTGTATATAAAGTCTGCTGCAGTTTCCACGGTAAACA